TGTGCGTGTGCGTGTGCGCGTGCGCGTGTGCGTGTGCGTGTGTGTGTGTGCATGTGTGTGTGTGTTTGTGTTTGTGTGTGTCCCTCTGAGGGGCCTTCTTCTTTGCGAGTGCCTATTTTAAAGTGGCATCCATCCATTAACAGAGAGAGGTGTGTGTAGGAGATAACTGCTGCCCGTCACACTCCGACGCCTCACACACACATGCACACACACACACACACACTCTCTCTCTATTTTGCCTCCCTGTCTGGATTTTTCAAACACACACTTCACAGTGTCTCTCTACACTCACCTGCCACCATGTTGACTCACTCACCAAGAGACGGATGGACGAGAAGGGATGACAGAGAGAGAGAGAGAGAGAGAGAGAGAGAGAGAGAGAGAGAGAGAGAGAGAGAGAGAGAGAGAGAGAGAGAGAGAGAGAGAGAGAGAGAGAGAGAGAGAGAGAGAGAGAGAGAGAGAGAGAGAGAGAGAGAGAGAGAGAGAGAGAGAGAGAGAGAGAGAGAGAGAGAGAGAGAGAGAGAGAGAGAGAGAGAGAGAGAGAGAGAGAGAGAGAGAGAGAGAGAGAGAGAGAGAGAGAGAGAGAGAGAGAGAGAGAGAGAGAGAGAGAGAGAGAGAGAGAGAGAGAGAGAGAGAGAGAGAGAGAGAGAGAGAGAGAGAGAGAGAGAGAGAGAGAGAGAGAGAGAGAGAGAGAGAGAGAGAGAGAGAGATGAGCTCATCGCGTTATCTGTGGTTGACTGTGTCTGAAACCTGATTTTAGTTGCTTCTGTTCTTCAGAAGAACTGAATCTAACCATAACAGGTTATTAAATCTTCAGTACCTTTGAAGGTTCCACCTGGGTCTGTGCTGTTTCCAGGTTCTGCTGCGGCCCGGCGGCCTGGTCTCGGTCCCAGCGGGGTTTTGTTGGTCTTGTGTGACTCAGAGAAGAAACCTCCAAACTTCAGACCAGAACCTGCGTATGGATCTGATGGCTGCTGACAGTTCTTCACCTCCTTTTGCATTTTTTAGAATTTGTTCGTCCAATTTTAATGGAGTCCCTTAGGCTGAAATCTTAATGCTGACGAAGCAGAACACAGCACGTGATGACCTTTGACCCTTCCCTGGCCCTCTCCTGTTTGCTATGTGGAGTTCTCTGTCTCAGCTGCTCCACCGTGACCGTAGGATGACCCGTTCTGCAGCGCGTCAGTGATAAGTCTTGGATCTTTAACACAGAGCCATGTTTCTGTCAGGAATAAAACGTCGGATGGATGCGGGAACAGTTTGAAGATGCCGCCTACGCCCACCGGTGGTGTGAGATTATCCACATCACAGTTGTAGCAGGACCAGTAGTTGGTTGTGTAACCAGCTCCTGTTGTCCTGTCAGGAAGTGTTAAAACCACGAAGGTGAAACAAACACCTCTTCTTCACCTGCTGTGTTTCTGTGTTTTACAGGAAGTGTCCAGATGGGTTTGACTGTCTGAAAACGGGAAGAAACCCAAACTATGGCTACACCAGCTTTGACACCTTCGGGTGGGCATTCCTGTCCCTGTTTCGTCTGATGACTCAGGACTACTGGGAGAACCTCTACCATCAGGTGAGGTCTGGGAGGTTCCTTCACAGAAAAGTTGAAACAAACCGAAACGCTTCCCTCTCGACTTCGTTACGAGTCTGCACATCTGGCCACGAGGTGGTCTCTTTCATCCAAACCAGCTTTTGGTTTATTAAGCTGCGAAGTTACAGATCTGCCTGACAGGATGTTTCACATAAACACGCCTCAGGAGGTCCCCGGCAGCCAAACTGGCAGAAAAGCTTTCACCCAAAAAGGGGCGGAGCATAACCACCTGTATTCCAATCTGTATTTTTATTTACCTCCTTTTTTACGTTTCAGTGCTTCCAGGTTTTCTTCATTTCATGAAAAAGTGAGTGAGTGAGTGAGTCAGCGAGTAAGTGAGTGAGTAAGTGATTAAAAGAGCAAGTAACTGAATGAGTGAGTAAGTGAGTGGGTGAGTGAGTGAGTGAGTGAGTAAAAGAGCAAGTGAGTGAGTAAGTGAGTGAGTGAGTAAAAGAGCAAGTGAGTGAGTAAGTGAGTGAGTGAGTAAAAGAGCAAGTGAGTGAGTGAATGAGTAAGTAAGTGAGTTAGTAAGTGAGTGAGTATATGAGTGAGTGAGTCAGCGAGTAAGTGAGTGAGTGAGTAAGTGAGTAAATGAGTACAAAAGCAAGTGAGTGAGTAAGTGAGTAAGTTAGTGAGTGAGTGATTGAGTGAGTGAGTGAGTCAGCGAGTGAGTGAGTGAGTGATTAAAAGAGCAAGTAACTGAATGAGTGATTAAGTGAGTGAGTGAGTGAGTAAAAGAGCAAGTGAGTGAGTAAGTGAGTGAGTGAGTAAAAGAGCAAGTGAGTGAGTGAGTGAGTGAGTAAGTAAAAAAGCAAGTGAGTGAGTGAGTGAGTAAAAAAGCAAGTGAGTAAGTGAGTGAATGAGTAAGTAAGTGAGTTAGTAAGTGAGTGAGTATATGAGTGAGTGAGTCAGCGAGTAAGTGAGTGAGTGAGTAAGTGAGTAAATGAGTACAAAAGCAAGTGAGTGAGTAAGTGAGTAAGTTAGTGAGTGAGTGAGTGAGTGAGTAGAAGAGCAAGTGAGTGAGTGAGCAATTGAGTAAGTGAATGAGTGAGTGAGTAAGTCAGTGAGTGAGTAAGTGAGCAAGCGAGTAAGTGAGTGAGTGAGTGAGGGAGCGAAAGAGTGAGTGAGTAAGTGAGTGAGAGACTGAGTAAATGAGCGAGTGAGTAAGTGAGCAAATGAGTAAGCGAGTAAGAGTAAGTGAGTGAGTGAGTGAGTAAATGAGTAAGTGAGTGAGTAAGTGAGAAAAAGATCAAGTGAGTGAGTGACTGAGTGAGTAAGTGAGTGAGTGAGTGATTAAACGAGCAAGTGAGTAAGTGAATGAGTGAGTAAGTGAGTGAGTGAGTGAGTGAGTAAAAGAGCAAGTGAGCGTGAGTGATTGGGTGAGTAAGTAAAAGAGTGAGTGAGTGAGTGAGTAAAAGAGCAAGTGAGTGAGTGAGTGAATGAGTAAGTAAGTGAGTTAGTGAGTGAGTAAATTAGTACAAAAGCGAGTAAGTGATTGAGTGAGTGAGTGTGTGAGTGTGTGAGTGAGTGAGAAAAAGTGCAAGTGAATGAGTGAGCGAGTAAATAAGTGAGTGAGTGAATAAGTGAGTGAGTGAGTAAGTGAGCGATCGAGTAAGTGAGTGAGTAAGTGAGTGAGTAAGTGAGTAACTGAGTGAGTGAGTGAGTGAGCGAGTAAAAGAGCAAGTGAGTGAGTGATTGAGTAAGTTTGTGAGTGAGTGAGTAAGTCAATGAGTGAGTAAGTGAGCAAGTGAGTGAGTGAGGGAGCGAATGAGTGAGTGAGTGAGTGAGTGAGTGAGTGAGTAAGTGGGTGAGAGACTGAGTAAATGAGCGAGTGAGTAAGTGAGTGAGTGAGCGAGCAAGTGAGTGAGTAATTGAGTGAGTGAGAGAGCGAGTGAGTGAGTGAGTGAGTGATTGAGTGAGTGAGGGAGGGAGTGAGTAAGCGAGTGAGTAAGAGTAAGTGAGTGAGTAAGTGATTGAGTGAGTGAGTGAGTGAGTGAGTAAATGAGTGAGCGAGTGAATAAGTGAGTGAGTGAATAAGTGAGTGAGTGAGTAAGTGAGCGAGCGAGTAAGTGAGTGAGTGAGTTAGTAAGTGAGTGAGTAAGTGAGTAACTGAGTGAGTGAGTGAGTGAGTTAAAGAGCAAGTGAGTGAGTGAGTGATTAAGTGAGTGAGTGAGTAAGTCAATGAGTGAGTAAGTGAGCAAGTGAGTAAGTGAGCAAGTGTGTGATGTGAGGGAGCGAATGAGTGAGTGAGTGAGTAAGTGAGTGAGAGACTGAGTAAATGAGCGAGTGAGTAAGTGAGTGAGTGAGCGAGCAAGTGAGTGAGTAAGTGAGTGAGCGAGGGAGCGAGTGAATGAGTGAGTGAGTAAATGAGTGAGTGAGTGAGTAAAATAGCAAATGAGTGAGTAAGTGAATGAGTTAATGATTAAAAGAGTGAGTGAGTGAGCAAGTGAGTGAGTAAGGGAGCGAGTAAGTGAGCGAATGAGTAAGCGAGTAAGAGTGAGTGAGTGAGTGAGTAAATGAGTGAGTAAGTAAGTAAAAGAGCAAGTGAGTAAGTGAGTGAGTGAGTAAAAGAGCATTTGAGTGAGTGAGTGAATGAGTGAGTGTGTGAATGAGTGAGTGAGTGAGTAAAAGAGCGATTGAGTGAGTGAGTAAGTGAGTAGGCGAGTGAGTGAGTGAGTGAGTGATTGAGTAAATGAGTAAAAGAGCAAGTGAGTGAGTGAGTGAATGAGTAAGTAAGTTAGTTAGTAAGTGAGTGAGTGAGTGAGTGAGTAAAAGAGCAAGTGAGTGAATGAGTGAATGAGTAAGTAAGTGAGTGAGTCAGATAATAAGTGAGTGAGTGAGTCAGCGAGTAAGTGAGTAAAAGAGCAAGTGAGTGAGTGAGTGAGTGAGTAAAAGAGCAAGTGAGTGAGTAAGTGAGAGAGTGAGTGAGTGAGTGAGTGAGTGAGTAAGTGAGAGAGTAAGTGAGTAAGTAAAAGAGCAAGTGAGTGAGTGATTGAGTGAGTGAGTGAGTTAGTAAGTGAGTGAATAAAAGAGCAAGTGAGTGAGTGAGTGATTAAAAGAGCAAGTGAATGAGTGAGCGAGCGAGTGAGTGAGTGAGTGAGTTAGTGAGTGAGTGAGTAAAAGAGCAAGTGAGTGAGTAAGTGAGAGAGTGAGTGAGTGAGTGAGTGAGTGAGTAAAAGAGCAAGTGAGTGAATGAGTGAATGAGTAAGTAAGTGAGTGAGTCAGATAATAAGTGAGTGAGTGAGTCAGGGAGTAAGTGAGTAAAAGAGCAAGTGAGTGAGTGAGTGAGTGAGTGAGTGAGTGAGTGAGTGAGTAAAAGAGCAAGTCAGTGAGTAAGTGAGTGAGTGAGTGAGTGAGTAAAAGAATAAGTGAGTGAGTAAGTGAGAGTGAGTGAGTGAGTGAGTAAGTG